CATCCCAGACCCCCATTTACGTGTCCTGACGCCACGATGAGGAAAGGTCCCGACATGCGCACTCCCCTGGGGTTTCTGGACTCCTGGATCCCTATCAAGTGAAGCTTTTCAGCTGCAAACTGCGTCTTGAGGATCTGGGTCCTCATCAACCTGCGCTTGCCCCTGGACCCCTTGGAAGCCCTGCAATACATGGATTTAGCATTAAACTGCACTGTGCGCAACGTGACCTGCTGCTGGGTATCCTTGTAGGACCCCTCTCTGGGGCAATCGTCACGTGTGGCGAGTTGAGGGATGACTTTGAAATCTAAAGATCCTTCCTCTAGAGAAGGCATTCCTAGGGAAGCATGCTGAAAAGGCGCCCTGGCCCATTCCCATTCCCTGCATGGAGAGTAGGAGGCCATGCTGAGGAGCAACGAGTCAAAGACAATACCCTGTATCTGCTGCTGAGCTGTCTGCTTTGCAACATTGTCGGCTAAAATGTTCCAATGATGGAAACAATGACTCTTGATGTGGTGCACTTCCAGCGGCCCCCTGACCCTGGCCACTCGATAAGCAATGCGCGCAAGCATGGCAAGTTTATCCTCTTTACCTGAGACTGCTCGACCCGCGACCAAATCGATAGCCGACTTGGAGTCCGACCAGATCTGCACCAGTTGAGTCTCGTTGCGTTCTCTGTCGCAGAGAACGGCAATCAGTGTCCATAGCAACGCAAGCAACTCAACGTCAGTGCTGTCAAGGCGCTGGCGGTGGGGCTCGATCATGCAGCTGTGCTGCCACTCAGAAGTCCAGAATCCCTGGAAAGCCGAGTCCCCTTGAGGATCCGTCGAGACGCGAATTATCGCCCACGCCGCCACATGATTATCTCCACGCCTCTGATTCTCGAAATGCGAACCGTCAGTGTAGTACGAAATGGTATCCCTGTCCCTCATGGCCTTGGTCGGACAGAGCTCTAACGCAATTCTAGCTGGGGCTTCGACGTCCTGAGTTTTGACCCTGAAGTTCCAGGCCGGAGCAGTGGCTTGGCCAGCCAGTTCCCAAAGCGACGGCTCACGCGGTAGCATGACCTTGCGCACTTCATTCCCCGAAGCAGGCTCAGTCCACAAGCAAAATCTGTCTCGGGCGCAACCGTCGTCCGACACATCACACCCAAAGGGAGAGGGGAGAGGGTGCGGTGCAAATGCACCAATTGGGGCTGTCTTCGCTTGTAAAATTCTCTCACCTCCAAGCGGCCCATCATTCCCCTGGGCACTGAGATCTGCCCCTACTCCATTAGGGACAGAAGACGAATTGCCTGTGACAGACGATGGCAGCTCTTCTTTTTCACTCGGCTGCGAAGCGAAAGAGGCCGAGCGTCCGCCTCCAAGTCGGAGAGGCGGACCAGCAGAAAGGCTCTGCTGAGCAGACAGCTGCTCATCGATGAAGGCAGAACCCCTGCACCCTCCTCGCTCAAGCTGTTTAGCTCCAGCTGTTCTTGGTGCGGGGGGGTCGTAAAAGTAACATGCAGATGCTGAGGCCTCGGAGGCAGTGCCCTCCCAGGTCTGAAAAGCTAGGTTGTCCCGCGCTGGCACGGACAGCAACTGACTGAGTGGCTTGCGCTGTGCAAGCTTGTGACTATTTTGAGAGGCAAAAGCACTGGTTGCAGGTCTGGCCACAGAAATGTCCTCCTCCCTGGAGGCTCTAAAAGTCGGCTTCGCCTTCAAAATGGATGCTGGCCTCTCTAAAGATGAATGAACTGGGCGAGGTGGTTCATCATTCACGAAAAACTCACGAATCTTCACACTACCGAACGTCAGTGTCGCTGAGTCTTTTGTGGTGGCGACCTGATGGGGCTCGTCTGTGAGGGACTCGCCAACTGCGTCGGTGCCTCGGCCGCCGATAAGGCTGCGTGTACCTGATCGATCTCCATAACCTGCCTCTCGATCTGGTCCTGAGTGGTCTCCACCTCGATAACTCCCGTTATGCTCACCTGTGGTCCCGATATGCTCTCTACCTCCTGGGATGGCCAAGGCTGCGTCGGCGAGATGGGTTCGACGGGTAGAGGACCAGGTACTTCCTCTGCTAGCTCCAAGGTATTCTGAGTCTCATCTAGGTCCTGCTTGATGTCCAAGAATTCGTCCTTGGCGTAGGGATCCCTCTTCATCGGTGCGCTGGGCGACCTCTGAGCTGCCTGCGGTGATGTAGCTGGCGGCGTTGCTGGCACTGGTGTGTCTGTGCCACCAATTGGTGTCGGTGAGCGGGGGGCGCCACCCCCCCGCAGAAAAAGGGGCCCCTTTCCCTTCTCCTCCGCAACTTGAGGCGCTGCTCCTTGATGTGGCTGAGGGACGTCTCCCTGCTGAGCTGCACGCTGCGCCTCCTCTGCTGCGAAATGATGCAATGCTGGATGCATCTCTGGCTGCTGAGCTGTCTGCATTGGCGGCGGGAAGACCGCCTGCGCTGGGACCTGTCCAGTAGGCAAGGGCGGCACTTGCTGCTGCGGCGACATCACCTGATCTGCCCCACTCTGATGATGCTGCATCTGCGCCGCCGCGGCCGCCTGGTAGTTGAAGGCCTGCCACATCTGTCCCATGATGCGCTCCGTTTCGTTTTGCCTGTTCGCCATGCCCACCAGCAGCCCTCTTATCTCCGCCATATCGTTGACGGACTCGAACGTTCTGTCTGGCACTT